TCGGTCCCACACCCAGCCCTCCTGACCTTTCCTGTGTTTGTAGAAGAATCGCCGTTTCAAAATGATAAATCAAGAGAAAATGCATTTTGAATTTCGAGGAAGTTGTTAAAGACTCACTGACACTCACGCAGGTCGCGTCGCGGCGAGGGGCATGTTGGAGAGTGACGTCATCCAGGTCTCCCTCGCCAGGTGGACCTCGAAGGTCGCCTTCAGGGCCGGCTCGTCGAAGCACGGGAAGGCGCGGCGGGCGTGCGTGGATTGAAACTGGGTCACAGCGAAATACCTGTCCGTTTTTGATAGACTATATGCATATCTATTATCTGTATGTGTATTTATATATATATATCTGAAGGAAGGGATTAGTGGTGCCAACTCGTTTCCAATAAACATTTGTCTATTGACTTCTAATAAATATAACTTCATTTCTAAAGATATAAATTAAATAATATATACTTAATGAGTGTATTAAGAGTAAGTGTATTGTGTAAATGCGAAATCCTATGCGTTTACTTGCTATTCCCGTCAACATCTTTATAGGTCGACCGGTAGAAGCCACGAAGCTGGTCGTTGAGGTAGCCAAGGAACTCCATCTGCAGAGTGTACCTCTCTCCTTTCATCAGCGCTTCCTCCATTTGGGCGACATAGAATTGACGGACAGGGTCATAATGCTGACTCTTAATTCCAACCTGTCGCTGTTCCACGCCTCCCGAACCCAACACCTTCAACAGTAAATGCATTTATTTGTTTTAAAAATCTAAAAAAAAAAAAAAAAGGTTATCACCATCCTTCACACTTCAACGGGGATTCAGATTTAACACTAACAAAACACAACACGAACTATCACCTTGACTGTGTCATTCTTCGTGATAATATCGAGCATATGGAGTGTGATGTTGTAGGTCGTCTCCAGGACCTCCATTTCCACCTCCAGGAAGCCGAAGATGCTGAAATTGCCATTAACGAAAGGCTGAAGTCGTATCCGGTAACGGAGTGGTTTGAGGGAGGTTGGAAGACGCGTGTCCACTTCAGAAATTGCTTCTGGTGATTTAGGCGTACGTGACAATTCTTCCTGTTGAGATTGAGAGATGATTTAGAAGGAGGTATTTGATTTTGAAGTAATTTGAAGTAATATACTCCAGTGCTCTTCGGTCTTTAATTGTATAATGCTACCTGCACTACATGTCATATATTTTTTACTTTTAAAACAATAAACGGATTTTACGAAAACTGCAGCCTACATTCGCAGAGGCAGAGAAAGGCCCCCACATCGGATTTGCATATTCTTACAGAACACAGCAGGAGAATCATACAAGAATTATGTAAGCTACGTGTTCCCTAAGTTTCCAATCGAACGAAGAACTGGGCGTAACAGACATCTCTTTCCGTTTGACAGAAAGAGAGAGAGAGAGGCGTGATAAGAAATTAAGCATGAAGCCAATAATATGCATTAAATCATATGAGAGAGCCAGTGAGCCACGGTTCTATCCTGACATGGACAGACCTAGTCGAAGAAAAACGTAGCTTTAAACTAAAAAGTAGCTTTAAAGTAGCTTTGGATTCATGGCCATCCCGATTACTTCACTTTCCTATTGTAATTAATGGCTGTAAATGTTTGATGACCTGGCAAAGAATGTTTGTTGAAAATTTAGTTATATATAAAAATCTCTGTCGTATCATAAAGCATCTATGTATTAGACTTGTTCGGATTTTTTCGTCGAAGGTTATAGACAGAAATCCTTTTATTGGTATAGAGTAAAAAGAAATAAGAAATAGGGCTTAGCGTAGATTGACTACTAACAAAACAACGTGAAAATAAAGAAGATAAACATATTGACAGGGAGAGAGAGAGAGAGAATGAGAGAGAAAGAGAGAGAGAGAGAGAATGAGAGAGAAAGAGAGAGAGAGAGAGAATGAGAGAGAAAGAGAGAGAGAGAGAAAGAGAAAGAGAAAGAGAGAGAGAGAGCAAGAGAAAGAGGAAGAAAGAGGGGGGAAGAGAGAGGTAAAGAAACAATCAGAGAGAGAGAGAGAGAGAGAGAGAGAGAGAGAGAGAGACAGAGAGAGAGAGAGAGAGAGAGAGAGAGAGAGAGAGAGAGAGAGAGAGAGAGAGAGAGAGAGAGAGAGAGAAAGAGACCGAGATAGAAAGAGAAAAAGGAAGAAAGAGAGAGAGAGAGAGTGAGGGAGGGAGAGATGGAGAGAGAGAGAGAATGAGAAGGCCTGGAACGGCTAGTCTTCCCTTCATCAAGGCGTGTTTATTGAAGAAATCTATGTTATCATGTTCCCACACTTAAATGCTGTAAAATGTTTCCAGTAGGCAATATTAGTTGAATATTTTCTTAGTGCACTATACCAAATTTACTAATCATAAACTTACTGTCGATAAAGGCCTTTCGACTGAGTTATGAGCCTGGATCTCCATGCCACTAGGCTGTGTCTCCATACCATTAACTCCTTTCAAGGCAAAAGTCCCGTAAATGATGAAGAACAATATGGATATCCTCATGGTTTGAGATAAACCGTCACTCTGAATGGCATAAATTCGTCGTACTTTCGTCTGGAACTTTATCAAAGCACACTATTTCTCACAGAGTATAAACTATTTGTATGCATACCACACGTTCACTAGAAAGCAGAAGGGAGACTGTGTAACACCAAACTAAAAACCAGAGAACTGAGGGAAGCATTGCGAATCGTAGTTTTTTAGACAAAACACGAATGATATTGATAGCCAACAATAACCGACTTGCATTGTGGACATTTCAGCACACGTAACAAAAAAAAACTAAACAAAACAAAAAAAAAACATGACGTATACAGAATGAAACATATCTGACCGGGCAATCCAACAGACACCTGTGGTTGATCAGGTGACAATTCAGTTTATGGTATAAACAGACATTAACAAAACTAGATCTGGGGTTTTTAACTTAGGGTCGCTATACTTTTGGTGCAGGTGTTTTTAAATGATGAAAAACAGTATGAAGATCCTCATGATATGAGATACGCCGTCAGTCTTAATGACATAAAATCGTCATACTTTCGACTCCTGTATTTATGAGACAATCAAACATAAATGAATAAACTACAGTATACATACTGCATGCAAAGTTGTGTTTATGTGAATATTTCTTAGTGTCCGTGACAGGTTAAGAACCACTTTGCAAGGCGGTTTATACACACTCACATGTATATACATATAGATGTGTGTGTATGTGTATACGAGTAAATATAATTACATATATATATGTGTGTGTGTGTGTGTGTGTACACAGACATAGATATGTATATACATATCTATATACATAGATATAGATAGGTATACATATGTATACATACACATATATCTATATCTGTTTATATCTATCTATCTATCTATCTATCTATCTATCTATCTATCTATATATATATATATATATATATATATATATATATATATATATATATATATGCGCGGGTGTATACATCACACACACACACACACACACATACATATATATATGTGTGTGTGTGTATGTATTTGTGTGTGTGTGAGCGTGTGCGTGTGTGTGTCTGTGTGTGCATAATGCCTGTTAATGTTAAATGTATGCAAATATACATACATCAATGAGCAAGCACATACAAACACACAAAATATTCTACTTTACCATGATGTAACTTAAAGAAATCAATATCATTGGTAATCGGCAACATTCACCTTGTTGCTCTGTCTTGCTAAGCTTCTTGAAAGATACCGTTAAGGGGGGTGGTATCACGAAGTCGTAGGTAAACTTATTATCATTATTTTTTTTTCGAATCAATATGGAAATAATAATTTTAATGTCACACAGAACGTTTGTTGGCTTATGCATCCAAACGCAGGATGTCACAGATTTCCCAATACATGGGTATAAATATTATTTCATCAAATGCACACCTATGGAATGACTCATGATCTTGCATAATCATGGCAAAAGCCTCCCATAATAATTGTTACTTGAGGATTTCACACATGTACTTTTTTCCTCTATTTTTTATTTTGTTTTTATCTTCGTCTTCCCTCAATCTGTGTGTGTGTATGTGCGTATGTAGGTACCTTTACACATACATAAGTACGTATATATACATAGACCTCTATAGATGCCGAGTTACCTTCTTGTGTACAGGAGATGAAGCCCAACACTTGACAAGAATCACCGTTGAAGGAAACGGCTGAAGGGTTAACTAACTTTGGGCTGGGGTGCGCATAACGTAAATTGATTTATAGCTGGGTGACACCAGGCTAGTTTGACGTGTGTCCCGTCGTAACCTTATACGCGCGCACACGTGCGTGTGTGTGTGTGTGTGTGTGTGTGTATGTGTATGTGTGTGTGTGTGTGTGTGTGTGTGTGTGTGTGTGTGTGTGTGTGTGCGGTAAAATCTACTTCGATACCGGTTTTGTGGTTAAAAATTCATACTAATAACTAAGAGCTCAAATTATCTTAAAAAACAACAACATTTAATGGTGTCATTCAGTAACATCGTATCGAATTTCTTTGTTCTGAGTTGCCTCGATAGTAAAACGTCCCAGTCTCAACATGGGACTTCACAGCCGGTTTGGTTTCCTTACAGTTACTTCATGAATGCTATTTGCTGTTAACATGTACCGATGTGGAAGCAGTACCAAGTAATTTACTATTAGTCAGTTACTATTGTTTCCAATCAACTGCAATTCGTTACCCCAGAGTTGCTTTTAACCATAGTATCTAAACTGCACCTAGAGTATATATATATACATATATATATATATATATATATATATATATATATATATATATATATGTGTGTGTGTGTGTGTGTGTGTGTGTGTGTGTGTGTGTGTGTGTGTGTGTGTGTGTGTGTGTAACGTCACACACATACACATATACATATATATACACATATACATATATATACACATACACACACACATGCATATTATATATACATATATGTTTACATATATAATGCATATATATATATATACATACATACATATACATATATAT